CTACTTAGGGGACTTAGAATGCTTACAAGTGCAGTTATCATTGGGGTTATAGGTGCCCCTGAACCTCCAAGTATGGCGAGACTGGTGGAGGCAAAGCAACAGTCTGAGCCACAAGATCGGCTCGTAAAGGAGTAGTGCCCTTCCCCTCAAGGAGGCAACTCGCAGCCGTGAGGCCCCAAGTCAATGCATGCACGAAGTGGGGGGTTTGCGATATGAGGGGTACCTTATCCTTATTATAATATGGGAATCCTACTATCTGGGGGACTATATGGGGGTCCCTGATTTTCGTAAGCCCCCCGAGTTCTTAGGCTGCTGGAGTCGGCACGTTCAGCCCTACTCATAGGAGAGGAAGTAGGGTTGGGGGTTTAGGGTTTAGGGTTTAGGGTTTAGGGTTTAGGGTTTAGGGTTCAAACAGGAGAGAGGGGGTCAAAGAGCAGAGGGAGGGGGGGCTACTTAAAAGACAGCGGGGTGAGAACGGGGGGGGCGGGGGGTTCAAAGAAAGCTTCGCAGCTTCGCCCAGCCCTAAACCCTAAACCTCAAATACCCTCAGCCCTAAGCACCCTAAATGCCCTAAACACCCCATCCCCTCAGCCTCATAAGCACCCGAAGCATCCCGAAGCCCGAACCGCCTTCAACCTGAAACCCTAAGCACCCTAAACGCCCTGAGCACCCTAAACATCCTGAGCACCTTAAACATCCAAAACACCCCAAACCACCCCAAACACCCTAAACCTTAGTTCAACCAAAAAACAGCCTCAGCTCTCCAAACCCAAAACACCCCTGCACCCTGAGCCCTGAGCACCCTCAACCCTAAACCGCAAAAACACCCTACACCGCAAGCTAAACCCTACACCGTGGTGAGAGATAAACCCTACACCCTAAACCCCAAGCACCCTACCACCCTCAACTTCAAGGTTGGCTTTTGGGAATATGTTATGCTTTCCTGGTTTGGGTTTATAAGGGCTGCATGTCATTAAATATTTTTCAAAGGGCCCTTGTCCCTAAACCCGAAACCCTCAACCCTAAACCCGAAACCTAAACCCTAAACCCTGAACCCTAAACCCTAAACCCTAAACCCGAAACCCTAAACCCTAAACCCTAAACCCCAAACCCCAAACCCTAAACCCTAAACCCTAAACCCCATGTCCTTGGGCCTACCAGGAACCGGCTCGGGGCGGCCGAGGCTGAGGGCGCCCTCCGCGAAGCCCTGGGGCGGCCCTGGGACAGTAGCCCCCAGGCTTGGGGGGTAGGGTTTAGGGTTTAGGGTTTAGGGTTTAGGGTTTAGGGTTTAGGGTTTAGGGTTTAGGGTTTAGGGTTTAGGGTTTGGGGTTTGGGGTTTAGGGTTTAGGGTTTAGGGTTTAGGGTACAAGTATCCACTCTTTTGGAGGCGGGTTTCGGGCTTTCAGCTTTTGAGTCTTGCTTAGGCTGTTTAGGGGCGAGCCCTTTTTTGGCTTCTCCTTCTTCGTCTTCTTTCTTGGGCTTCCAGCTCGGCTTGGTGTTGATGGCTTAGGTTAAGTTTCGGTTTAGGGTTTAGGGTTTAGGGTTTAGGATTTAGGGTTTAGGGTTTAGGATTTAGGGTTTAGGATTTAGGTCTTAGGGTTTAGGGTTTTAGTGTTGAAAGCTTAGGGTTTAGGGTTTGGGGTTTAGTTTAAAACTTTCGGGCTGTTGGGCTTGGGGTTTCGGGTTTACGGTTTACGGTTTTGGTCCAGGAGAGCTCGAGCTCGAAGAGGGCATTTCCTAGGAGGGGCTGAGGCTTTTGGAGTTCTTCGGGCGAGATGTTCCCCCTTATACTAGCAGTCCTTAATAGGGATGAGAGTCGGGGGTACTTTCATCCCTTTTTGAGGATGCTTAGTATAGGGGGGAACATCCCACTAAGCCCTGACCCCGAAGCCCTTAAGCTCACAGGATCACCAACAAGGAAGTTATTCCAAGCTCTGATAAACGCCGCTGCTCCTTCGTAGTCCCTCAGCTGTGGTTTAGGGTTTAGGGTGTAACCCGAAAATCTAAAACCCTAAACCCTAACCTCCATATCAACCCTGAACCCTGAAACCTGAACCCTGAACCCTAAACTTGAAACCCTAAAACTTGAAACCCTAAGCCCTAAACCCTTGAACCTTGGGATCCACGGATCTGCCTGCGGAGCCCGGCGAAGGAGGCCCACTGCCAGCAAAGCCTCGCGCAAGCGCTGCGCGCGCTGTCGCGCTCCCGCGCAGGAGGAGGGCCAGTGGCCCTAAGCAGGGTTTAGGGTTTAGGGTTTAGGGTTTTTTTTTAAGGGTGGTTTAGGGTTTAGGATGGTTTAGGGTTTAGGGTTTAGGGCGGGTGAAGATATTCCCCAAGTTGGGGTCTCCATACAGCCCACTTAAACAAGCTATGAGCCTTATTCTAGGAACCCAACAGGCGAACCACGAATTTTCGGAAGCCCCCTTGTCTAAACCCGATGTCGCCCCTAAGACCCTAAACGACAGAGTTGGCTTGCCCTGTTCCGCAGGAGGCACGCCTGCAGCCTTGGCAGACGAGGCTAGTTGTGACATGAACCCCAAGCCTAAACACCAAACCGTGCTGGAGGCTTCAGCAGTGGAATTCAGGATGTGGGGTAGGTGTCCGCCGGGGTTCGGGTTTGCACACCCTAAGCCCTAAAGCCCTGAAACCCTGAACCTCCAGCCCTGAACTCTTGACTCGTTTTTGGGCCGGCAGAAATCTCGGTAGACAAAAATTCAGGTTTCGATCAAGTTCGAGAGCCCAGTGCCCCTTCTTTACGAAGAGATCCGGATCAGGAAAAAAAAGTTGCTTCCTGAATTCTGGGGTATGGGGCTGTCTGGAATTCCATATTTGTTTGAGTGGCAAACAGTGCAATACTCAAACGTTTCCGGTGGGAGCTGCGTTGGGATTAGTAGGAGGTAGGGGACTGAAGATCCCAAGCCTCCCGCATCTGCGTAGTGGCAGGTAGGGTTGTGGAAGTACCGCTAGAAAGACCTACTTGCAACAGCCTTGAAAACAGTACTTGCGCCCGAACACCCTGGAAGTCATAGCTGAACCTTCAACAAGCTCGGGGCCCGAATGCCACAAGCAGCTGTCAGGACACTCCCGCGGAGCCGGCCAGTGAAGGATGAGGGCGAGGAGAGGCCGCAGAGGAGGAAGAGGAGGAGGAGGGGGAGGAAGCGGAGAGGGGGCTGGGGCGACAGGACACCAAGAGGCCCAGAAGAAGCCGAGGAGCACTTTGGCCACCATCACGAACCAGCCGACGGCCGTGGCCAGGAAGCCCGAAGGCCAAGAAAGCAGGAAGCTCATGGCAGAGCTCGAAGACGAAGAAAAAGAAGAAGCCGATGGCAGAGAACTGGTGGCGACGACATGCATGACTTAACCCTAAACCCTAAACCCTTTCGACCAGCACTACCTCGGCAGCAGCGCCGGACGACTGCAGCGACGGCTTCAGCAACAGCGACGGCTTCAGCAACAGCGCGCCAACCCACAAACGTTCGAACTGCTTGTTGCAGGTAGTGTCGAGCCCGCTACGCCCTTCGAAGTGCGCTGCAAGGTGCGTGCTCAGGTCAGTAAAGCAGCCCTCTGCCTCTCTCCACAGCGTGTGGTGGGCAAGAAGGGCGGTTGCTCACTAAGCCTTCGTCCCCCTGACTGGGCTTGAACCAGGGTAGGCCTGGGCCTGGGAGGCTTTGTCAGAGGCACCTCTACTTGGAGGTTCAGGGTACTTATAACCCCTGGGTTTAGGGTTTAGGGTTTAGGATTTAGGGTTTAGGGTTTAGGGTTTAGGGTTTCGGGTAACTATGACTGCACTTATAGGCCCCCTATGTCCCCTAAGTAGGTTAGAGGTACAGTTCTAACTGGGGTTATAAGTACCCATGAACCTCCAAGAGTCCCATGTGAGGGAAGGGGTCATGAAAAGCTCATGGCTCGCGACCGATCAAGTCTGTCAGAAAAGGAAGTGTTCGAGGGCAATTGCTGCTGCATCCAGTCACAATGAAAGTGATTCTAGTGGCGCTTTCCGTTTTTTTGGTCTCGTACCCTAACCCCTAAAACCTGAACCCTACACCCTAAACCCTAAACCCTGAACCCTGAACCCTGAACCCTAAACCCTAAACCCTACAGAGCGTGCGGCACTTCGTGGGGTTGAGGGGTTCTTGCCGTTCTTTCGGAGCGTCCCCCGACAAGCCCTGCCTGATAAAGCCCTGCCAGAACTCCTCCCTAAAACCCCAAAGCCTCAACCCTAAACCCTAAAACCCAAAACCCAAAACCCTAAACCCTAAACCCTAAACCCCAAACCCTATACCCCTGACATGCTGAAGGCTTTCGTGTTTAGGGCTTCAGGGTTTCAGGATCCCCCAAACCCCTAGGAAGGGTCACTTGCAAACCCTAAACTCTAAACCCTAAACCCTAACCCCCAAACCCTAAACCCTAAACCCTAAGCCCTAAACCCTAAACCCTAAACCCTAAAGTACCTGGGGATGTTGAGGGGGCAGGTCACGGGCTTTCGCCATACTATGGTCAGCGGCAGGATGCGAACTGAGGGTTTAGGGTTTAGGGTTTGGGGTTTAGGGTTTAGGGTTTAGGGTTTAGGGTTTAGGGTAGGACCAGCAGCGTTCCGGCCCTGCGTGGGCATTGTGCATTTCTCAATCAAGCCGAAACCTTCCCAGCCCGAAGCTTTTGAGAACCCTCGACCCTAAGCCCTAAAGTTTAGGGTTTAGGGTTTAGGGTTTAGGGTTTGGGGGTTCAGGGTTTAGGGGTTTAGGGTTCAAAACCCCTAAACCCTGCACCCTAAACCTTTGCCGAACGAAGCCCTGGACCGGACCTGAGGCCCGAACCCTCAACCCAAAATCCGCCATGGTAAGCTCCCAAGTTACACCCACAGCGGCCTGCGATGCCCTAAACTCTAAACCCTAGACCCTAGACCCTGGACCCTAATTAAGCCCTCAACCTTAAACCCTGAACCCTAACCCTAAGCCCTAAACCCTAAACCCTAAACTCTAAGCCCGAAACCCTAAACCTCCATGCGCCTCTCCTGGCGCTGGCTCCTCCTCTTTCGACTGCTGAATGCGTCGCTGCTGCGGACGTCCTTCACACCGGACTGAGCGGACGCCCCGAAATCCGCAACCGACGAAGCCCCGTAAATGTTCATGTATAGGTATATGTATATGTATATGTATATGCATAGGTATATGCATAGGTATATGCATGTGCAATATGCATACTCATATGCATATGCATATGTATATGCACATGTATGTACCTATACATGTACATGTACATGTATAGTACTACGTGTATGGCACTTTTCTTAGACCTGTATGCGGGCGTCTTCGGGCTTGGGGTCGAAGGGCTTAGGGCCTTACTGGCCTTAGGGGTTTAGCGTTTCAGGTTTTAGGGTTGTAGGGTTTAAGGTTTTAGGGTTTGGGGATCAGGGTTTTCGGAACACTCCTCAGCCGCCATTCTGGCGGCTCGCAACCTGGGCTCGTGTCTTGCATGTCGCCATGGAAATCCCGAAGCCCCAGTCCCTGAACCAACCCGCAACACTGAAACCCTAAACCCTAAACCGTAAACCCTAAACCCTAAACCCTAAACCCTAAACCCTAAACCCTAAACCCTAAACCCTAAACCCTAAACCCTAAACCCTAAACCCTAAACCTGCCCCGCGGGAAGGACGAGTACTGGCAGGGGCCGGAAGTTGCCCACGCCTGGGTCTACGGCTACGGCCGCCTGGATGATTGTTGGCCGTTTCAGGGGCCCCAAGCCTTAAACCCCGAACCCTAAACCCTAAGCCCTAAACTTCAAGCCCTAAACCCTAAGCCCTAAACTTCAAGCCCTAAACCCTAAGCCCTAAACCCTAAGCCCTAAACCCTAAACCCTAAACCCCAAACCCTAAACCCTAAACCCTAAGCCCCAAACCCCCAAACTCCAAGTATCCCCAACTCCGAGGCCCCTAAGCCCCCTAAGCCCGCTAGCCTCAGGTCACCTCACTTGGGAGTGGCAGCCGTGCGTGGCGTTGCGGGGCGTTCTGCACCCAGGACCGGGGGTTTGGAGTTGAGGGCCTAAGGCCTAGGAGTTTGGGGTTGAGAGTTTAGGGGGCCGAATGCTAGAGAGCAGACTATTTCCAGCAAAAAGCTGAAGAGTAATACTAGTAAGAATACGAAAGTTGACGTATCATGAACCAATGGGGTGAGAATTGTAGTATTCGGCCGGCCCGGGCGTCAACATATGTATATCTGTGGGCCCGATGAGACTAATGAAGGGTGACAATTGCTTAGCTCCAGGCCAGGTCTCCCTGGGCCATAGCTGCGCCTGACACGAATGCTTGCTACGGAAGCCCTGCTTCAGAGAAGCCAAGTGGCCGTCAAAGACTTAGCTAGAACCCGTGGTCTGCAAGAGGCAGAAACTACCGGCCAAGTCTCTTCAGCAGCGGAGATATCCTTGGCCTCAGCATGGGATGTTCCCCTTATACTAACAGTCCTCAACAGGGATCATAGCACCCCGCCCCAAAACCCCAAAACCCCAAACCCCAAACCCCAAACCCCAAACCCTAAACCCTAAACCCTAAACCCTAAGCCCTAAACCCTAAACCCTAAACTCTAATCCCTATTAAGGACTGTCAGTACAAGAGGAAGCATCCCAAGGCAACAGAGCGGCCAACGGAGCAAAGGAGCTGCAGCGAGCCGGGACCAGAAAGTTTGAAAACAAGCCAGCGCAGACCTTCTTCTACCCCCCCTTCTACCCCCCCTTCTACCCCCTTTCTACCCCCCTTCTGCCCCCCTTCTACCCCCCTTCTACCCCCTTCTACCCCCCTTAGCCCAAAGCCCAAAGCCCAAAGCCCTAAGCCCTAAGCCCTAAGCCCTAAGCCCTAAGCCCTAAGCCCTAAACCCTAAACCCTAAACCCTAAACCCTAAACCCTGCCTAACCCCTACACCCTGACAGCCCCCTTATACCCTCGGAGGCCTCTTCGCGGTGCTCTTCCTTTTCCTGGACTCCCCGGCGCTCGTGGCGTACGGGCCCCGCCTGCTCCAGGTGCCGATCTCAGTGTAGTGTGAGTTTTCAGGGTTTGGGGTGTAGGGTTTAGGGTTTAGGGTTTAGGGTTTAGGGTGTAGGGTTTAGGGTTTAGGGTTTAGGGTTCAGGGCTACCAGGAGACCCAGAGTAGGCCCTTGAAACCAAAATGGGCACCCTTTCATATTAGGAGGTCACTTCAGGGCTGTGACTGTTATGCTTTTTGTTGCTCGCATTCTTACTCGTATCATAATTAGAATGATTGTTCGTATGATTCTTGGTACTCGTCTTACGAGTATATTGTTGCTTGTGGTGACGATTCTGACTCTGGTTATTCCTTCCCTTATTCCCTTACCCCACCTGAATAGGGCCAGGGAACTGGGAATGTTCTATATAGGGGTAATGGCATGCTCCCTTAATATGACCCCTTATCTTCCTTTAAAGGGTTCTGAAGCATGGGCCCCTGAGTTTTATGGCGTAGATGTGGTGTATATAAGGGATCCCCATCTAAGGGCCCATATCAAGGGACCACATGCAGGGTTTTTAGGGGTTTTCTAGGATTTAATGGGGGGCTTTGGGGATTATAGGGTTTGCAGGGTTTATAGGTTTTTTTTTAGGGTTTTTGGGTTTATAGGGTTTATGGGGCTTTTAGGGTTTTTTTGGGGTTTTTGGGTTTATAAGGTTTGGGGGTTTCGGGCCTGGCTCAGGACCGTTAGGGTTCATGAGGTGATGAAAGACATGGACTCCGACCCTGGTCTTTTCGGCTGTAAAGGCCAGGCTTCAAAATTTCGGTCTCATTAGTTTAAGGGGGGTGCTGGGGTCTATGTCTGTGTAGTGGGATGTTGGATGTTCCCCCTTAAACTAACCGTCCTTTATGGGGATTACAGTACCCCCTATTAGAGTCCCGATTAAGCACTGTTAGGAAAAGGGGGAACATGCCAATCTATGTAGGTTGTTGGTGTTGGTTTCCGGCCACCTTAAACCCTGAACCCTGAATTCTAAACCCTAAATCCTAAACCCTAAACCCTAAACCCTCAACCCTAAGTGCCTGAAAACCCTGACCTCTCTTGTTCTGGCCTTGCAGCCGCGGCAGGGGGCGATAGCTTCTGTTGGTGATGCCGCCGCTTGGCAGCGACAGCCCTGCTTGGAGAGGGGGGTTGTGACCCTATCGTTGTTTAGGGTTTAGGGTTTAGGGTTTAGGGCTTGGGGTTTAGGGCTTGGGGTTAGGGTTTAGGGTTTAGGGTTTAGGGTTTAGGGTTTAGGGTTTAGGGTTTAGGGTTTAGGGTTTAGGGTTTGGGTGTTCAGTCTTTTTGCCTGCTATGTTGCTGATCGAGCTCGACCATGCGCGCGAGTATTGATCCAAGTACGCCAAGTAAGGAACCCCACCTGTGTTAGTTCTCGTTTCTTGAGGCTGGGCCCCTAAACCGCAAACCCCAGACAAAAACTCCTAAAAGCCAGCCATTTGACTGGACTGAGTGGGTTCGCGCCCAATGTCTGTCATGAGGCAGCCTCTAAACTTCGAGTGACCAAGGCGGAGGCAAAGACCGGGAAAGATGCCTGCACAGCTGGGGTCGGCCAACGACTTAAACCCTAAACCCTAAACCCTAAACCCTAAACCCTAAACCCTAAACCCTAAACCCCTAAACCCTAAACCCTAAACCCCTAAACCCTAAACCCCAAACCCTATGGGAACCTCTTGTCCCATGGTGCCTATCGTGCCTATCGTGCCTCGGAGCTTTCGAAGATGATCTCTGACAAAAGATGGCTGTCCGCTGCCGAGTTACCAACGCGAGAGCGTGGAAAGCATGCGTCTGCTGTTGCCGAACCCAGCCCGAACCTGTGCAAAATGCTTTTTTAAAGCCACGAAGAAAAACCCGCACATTGCTGCGGAGGAGCTTCTTCAACGAAAGGAGTGGGATCAGCTGCTGCGCTAGTCCGACTTGATGGAGATGAGAAACCCTAAGACCCAACTCCCCCTAAACCCCTAAAGCTTCCAAAGCCGTGAACCTTGAAACCCTAAACCCAGAAAAGCCCAGAAAAACCCTAAACCCTAAACCCTAAACCCTAAACCCTAAACCCTAAACCCTAAACCCTAAACCCTAAACCCTAAATTCAAAACCCTAAACCCTAAACCCAGGAAACCCAGCAGAAGCCCATGAACCGAGGCCGTTTACCGAGCTGCGGAGAGGCACCGTGGTCTGCAAGCTCCAGACTCCCCAAGCCGCGTACAACTGGTCTAGGGATGTAGGGTTTAGGGTTTTAGGGTTTTAGGGTTTTAGGGTTTTAGGGTTTTAGGGTTTTAGGGTTTTAGGGTTTTAGGGTTTTTGGGGTTTTAGGGTTTTTGGGGTTTTAGGGTTTGAGGGTTTTCGGGTTTTAGGGTTTTCGGGTTGAAGGGTTTTAGGGGTTTTAGGGTTTTAGGGTTTTAGGGTTTTAGGGTTTTAGGGTTTTAGGGTTTTAGGGTTTTAGGGTTTTAGGGTTTTAGGGTTTTAGGGTTTTAGGGGTTTAGGGGTTTTAGGGTTTAGGGTTTTAGGGTTTTAGGGTTTTAGGGTTTTAGGGTTTTAGGGTTTTAGGGTTTTAGGGTTTTAGGGTTTTAGGGTTTTAGGGTTTTAGGGTTTTAGGGTTTTAGGGATTTAGGGATTTAGGGTTCAGGGTTTAGGGTTTAGGGTTTAGGGCTCAGGGTTGAGGGTTTCAGGTTACTCCGGGCTTTGCGAAGGCAGATTTCAAAGGGCTCATGAGGGTTTGGGAGGCAGTGTACGGTTCAGTCATTTGGGGTTGAGGGTTAAGAGAGGGTGGGGTTGAGGGTCAAGCCGCCAGGGCACAGGGATTTAGGGTTTAGGGTTTAGGGTTTAGGGTTTAGGGTTTAGGGCTAGGGTATAGCGGTTGGAGGTTTGGCAGGGTTGTTCGAACTTTCGGGTCACGTCGTGTCGGGTCTCCATGTCTAGTACACTCCCCCATCTAGCGACTACTGGCAGGGTTTAGGGTTTAGGGTTTAGGGTTTAGGGTTTAGGGTTTAGGGTTTAGGGTTTAGGGTTTAGGGTTTAGGGTTTAGGGCTTGGGGTGTTGGGGACATTTTGCACCGGGGCCTGGGCAGGCTTGGTGGTCCTTCGGCAGCGTCCTGGACCATGGCCGTACACCTAGGCTCTCCCGGGTTCTACTAAGTCAGGAAGGTTTAGGGTTTAGGGTTTAGGGTTTAGGGTTTAGGGTTTAGGGTTTAGGGTTTAGGGTTTAGGGTTTAGGGTTTAGGGTTTAGGGTTTAGGGTTTAGGGTTTAGGGTTTAGGGTTTAGGGTTTGGGGTGTAACGTGTTTACGGCTCGGGGTCTAGGGGGAAGACCTTAGGGGCGGGATGAAAGGGAATCTGTTGAGCCGTGATGCCAGAGGTCGGAATAATTACTAATCTCATTCCCGTATGGTCCCTACATAATTACCCCTCAAAAACCCCATTCTTTATTAAGGCGCCTATATTCGAGCTGCTGGCAATGGTCGGCCTTCAACTCTAAACCTCATACCCCTCCCAACCGCTTCCATCCCCGGGCCCTGCATCCCATGGCTTCGGTTCCTCCTGAACCCTAAACCCTAAACCCTAAACCCTAAACCATAAATCCTAAACCCTAAACCCTAAACCCTAAACCCTAAACCCTAAACCCTAAACCCTATATAAACCCTAAACCTGAAACCCCTATGTCCTTGCTGTCTCTGCTCCCCAAACTGGAATGGTGTGTTCTCCAAGTCCTTTCGGTCTTACCCATTTCCCTACTCCACCATCTCATCCCAAAACCCTCAACCCCAACACAGCCCTAAACTCTAAACGCTGAAACCTGAACCCTAATCCCTAAACCTTGGACCCCAAACCCCAAACCTTGAGCCCCAAACCCCAAATCCCAACCCTAAGCCCCAAGCCCTTTGGCTCTTCCTGCAGCCTGCGCTTTGAGGCAGCTGGTTCCAGCTCTACTGCCTTCCAAGGAGTTCAGGGTGGGCCCTACATCCCTGAACCCCACCAGGAAAGAAGACCCTGAACCCCCAAACCCCCCAAACCCCCTAAACCCCCTAAACCCCTTAAACCCCCTAAACCCCCCTAAACCCCCCAAACCCCCTAAACCCCCTAAACCCTAAACCCTTGCCCCTAACCTCTAGAACCCTAAACCGTAAACCCTAAACCCTAAACCCTAAACCCTAAACCCTAAACCCTAAACCCTAAACCCTAAACCCTAAACCCTAAACCCCAAACCCCAATACACCTCAAGCCCCATGCACCTCCAAGCAGGACCTACTCCAGCAGCCTCGAGGCGGTGCTTTTCGCCCTGGCCCTGGAGCAGTGGCTTCGAGGCACAGGTCCGCAGGTTTCAGGTTTAGGGTTTAGGGTTTAGGGTTTGGGGGGCTTAGGGGGTTTAGGGGGCTTAGGGGGTTTAGGGGGTTTAGGGGGTTTAGGGCCCTCACCCAAACGCCGGACCCCCGGCCTCGCACCTTAAACGGGTGGGGGGATTCCAAGCGCAGGTGCGCGCCTCCGCAGCGTTGGCTTCGGGGCCGTGGCTGTCGCCTTGCGGCCGACCGCCGCAGGCTTGGGTTCAGGGTTTTCGGAGGGTTTCAGGTTTGGAGTTGGTTTTGAGGGTTTCGCCCTAAGCCTGGCTGCCGCCGCACTCACCTCTGTTGGGGTAGGCGGGCGCAGCCGAGCGCTCTGTGCCGGGTCAGCCGAGGCACCTGCTCAAAGGCACTTGGCCCTTGAAGGGTCCTTGCCTGGATGGCCCAGCCCCTTGCAAGGCCCTTTCAGGCCCTGCCGGGAGCCCCTTGGCACCTCCGCCGTGCCAAACTTTGCCCGGGAGGCCTGACGAAGACGTCCCCCTGCGCACTCGGATGCTTTCAGTGTCCTACCATCTTCGTGCCAACATGTATTTTCGCCATGCACCTAGGCAGTCCCTCGATCAGAAAAGTGCGGCCGAAAACGCCCCTCAGCGCCTGATTCGTTCGGATGCTTCCAGCGTCCCTCGCAGGACCAGGTATCTGAATGACAGCAGGTGTTCGCGATGCACCTTGATAACCCGGAGCCGATGGGAAAAGACCAATGAGAAGGCCCTCCGAAGACGTCCCGGCGAAACCTACATTTCCGGACGCTTCAAGCTGGCAACAGGCTTTCGCCGCTTTCACCGATGCGCCTTGGGATTCCGGAGGTGAGCAAGTAATGGGAAGGTTCTCCCGTTGTGTAGCGTCTGTCTGCATGCTACTGTCACCAGCGCGCGAAACAAGACCTTAACCCCTCAACCTTAAACTTGATGTTTTTGTTCTCCCCTTGTTCATGTTTTTTTGGGGTGTTCAGGATCTTAAGCTCCGCCCCCAAGTGAACCTAGAAAGCCTTGAGTCCCTGCAGCCGCTCAGTACGCTTTTTAAACCTTCAAAGCCCAACCTCAGCAAAGCTCTCAGAGACCCGAGCCCTGAAGCCCCAAAGCTTCAGCCCTGAACCGCGAACCTTAAACCCCAGATCCTGGACCCCAAGCCCTAAACCCTAAACCCTAAGCCTCCAAACCCTGAACCCTGAACCCTAAACCCTGCGCTTGAAGGCCGGGCCCTAAGCCCTGTACATGCAATGTAACCTAAGCATGCTCCCGGAACGGCTTGTAAGAGGATTCTGTATCAGACAGTGCCCGAACTCAATTCTTGCTGATTCGCGGGCCAGGTTTTAGTTTTTTTGACTTGTCTTTGCGTGCAGGTGACATGAAGTACCCAGACCCCTGGGAGGATCCCAAAAGTAGAACCCCCCTCCCATAGCTATACCACTATTGGGTAATTCTTAGGAACCCTTAAGGGGATCTACTTTGTGGATCCTCCCAGGGGTCTGAAGTAGGGTTGGCACCAGCTGCTTAGCCTCACGAACTTCCAAGTGGCATAACAAGATGCCACCCTGAACCCTAAAGCCGAAACCCTAAGCCCTAAGCCCTAAGCCCTAAGCCCTAAGCCCTAAGCCCTAAGCCCTAAGCCCTAAGCCCTAAGCCCTAAGCCCTAAGCCCTAAGCCCTAAGCCCTAAACCCTAAACCCTAAACCCTAAACCCTAAACCGTAAACCGCTAACCCTAGTTCCGACATGTGGCCAGCCTCCCCGATGCCAAAGCCATCACTAGGGCTTTGGTGAATGCATGCAGGGCTCCCTCTCGCTTTGGGGGATACTAGCCATAAGCAACCACGTGGAGTACCAAGAAATTGAGAGGCGGATCTGGGGAGAAACGCTAACTGCACCCCTAAACCCGAAATCCTAACTCTAAACCCTAAACCCGAAACCCGAAACCCTAAACCCTAAACCCTGAACCCGAAACCCTAAACCCTAAACCCTAAAAACTTTTTACTATGTACCGTTCGCTCATATGACTCATGCGAGCAATCGTTGACGAACCCCTAGGTCCCCTAAAGCTAAAACCCCCGAGTCCCTAAGCCCTGAGCCCGAAATCTTAAACCCTCAAAACCCCCAAACCCTGCTCCCTAATCCCTAAACCCTAAACCCTAAACCCCGAACCCTGAACCCTAAACCCTAAACCCTCTCCTTGACTGCGCATCCCCTTGCGAGGCTATTGGCTGGCGCTGGCTCTCTACGAGGCCGTGTGGCGGCAGCGGCTGGAGTTGTGGGTTCCCCGTAGCCCAGTCGTGCCCTGCAGCTCTCTTCGTTTCCAGGGTTTAGGGGTTTAGGGGTTTAGGGTTTAGGGTTCAGGGTTTAAGCCTAGCCCGGGCTTCAGTTTCGGCACAGCTTATGGGGTTGTTTGAGAAAATTGAGTCTTGCTGTTGAGCAAGGGGTTACCACGCGAGTGGTTTCGGCGTCAACGCGTGAAACGAAAAGGCCAACACAAAAGGCACATTGCATGGTCCTGGTCGCATGCACCCAAACCTTCAAGATTTGGTCGCTTAGCCATGGTTACGAACGATAATAAGCCCCGCGATATCCAAAATGTTAAAACCCTACCAGGACAGCCAGAGCAAAGTGCTTCGGTTCATGAAGAATCCCTTCAGCTAGCTCGAGCACAAGCATCAAACTCCCAATCCACGAGAACGGCGAGTACATGCTCTTTTGCAAAAGTCTTTTGTGTACGAGCACTGCAAGTGGACAAGGAGACGAACAAGATGACATTTTAAGGGACAAGTGGTTGGTAATTCAGCCCTCTGGATGAAGCCTTAAGCCTCAACTGCTCGTCGTTTTCAGGGCCCTGCATATTTTTCTCAAACCGAAATCCTTAGCCTTGGGCGCCTAAACCCTACATCCCCAAACCCTCGAACCCACTCGAACCCCCCCCCCCCCCCCCCAAACGCCTAAACCGCCCTCTCAACCCTAAGCCCCCCTTAGGCCTAAGCCCTCTCACCCTAAAGATCCTAAGCCCGCAAAACCCTAAACCCTGCGCCCTGCAAACCCTAACCCTTAGGCTCAAAGTAGCAAAGTAGCCCAAGAAAAACATTTATACGAAGGCCTTTGGGCCCAAAACCCCTATAATCGAAGTCCTAAACCCTAAACCCCAAACCCTAAACCCTAAACCCTAAACCCTAAATCCTAAACCCTAAACCCTAAACCTTAAACCCTAAATAGACCCTTGCAGGTGGTCATGGCCACCCGACAGGGCAAGCTCCAGCGGCTGGTTTGGGAGTTCGTCCTTCCAGGCGCTTCACGCAGGGTGGCTCCAACCCACAAAAGAATCCTCCATTTTAAACACCCCAAGAAGCAAGAAGCCCTAAACCCTAAACCCTAAACCCTAAACCCTAAACCCTAAACCCTAAACCCTAAACCCTAAACCCTAAACCCTAAACCCTAAACCCTAAACCCTAAACCCTAAACCCTAAACCCTAAACCCTAAACCCTAAACCCTAAACCCTAAACCCTAAACCCTAAACCCTAAACCCTAAACCCTAAACCCTAAACCCTAAACCCTAGACCCTAGACCCTAGACCCTAAACCCTAACTAACCCTAAGCCCTAAACCCTAAACCCCCATGGGCGTTCAGGGCTTTCAGGGACCTCCCGTCCTCCGAAATCCGAGAGGCAGCGAATCCAAGA